CCCCAAAACCCCAAAACCCCGATATGAGCAAATAGACATTTGAATTGAAAGATAGAAATGTAATTAATAAATGCACAGTTCAAACAAGCACTATACCCAATTGAGGGGATTTTAATTCTGGAATTCTCCAGTTGTATAGATAATAATGAAGATTACCATCTCCAACACCAAACTTGAGTTCCTTTAATATTTTTTCATTCTCCATAATATCTAAGGCATTGAATACATCAAAGTTCTTTTATTTAGCAATAATCAGAGCATTTCTCATTAGTTCTTCAAAACTAACCGTGTTGCAAACATTGTAGTAGGCATAAGCAACATTCAATATCTTATGAGTCTCATGCTTTAGAATTGAGGATGGGAGGTGATAGAATGAGAAGAAATCTGTGACTTGCTTAGTCTCTGGATTCTCGACTACATAAGTGTCAATAACACCTGGCCTAGGAATGAGGAAGTGCTCAACTTCTGAATTTGAAAATTCAAGATGTACCTCAAATCTTGTAAGATATGTATTTAGCAATTCGCATACGACGCTAATATCTTTCTTAGTCATTTCTCTAAGTCCTGGGATTGATGTCTCAGTTGGTAGCTTTAAAATCTTTACGTATCTAGCCATTGGAGTTCCTGAGGGTAGAGATGAGAATCCAACTTCAACTAGTTTCTTTGGATTCAAACTTCTGTGCCAGTAGGTTGTTTTTGCTATTGGTAATGGAATCAAAACTCCAGCAGTGTAAACTGCTTGCCAAATATCGTGGAGGTTTACTCTTCTTGTTACCTCTTTAATAAGGACTGTAGCTAATCTCTTTGTTCTAAGACTCTTGTGAACACAAAGGAAATTGATCTCTGCCATCTTTATCTTATTTCCTCGGACTACACAATCAACTGGAATACCGGAGATAAATCCGAATAATCTATTCTTCTTTCCTCCTCTTACTCCGAATAACCACTCTTTATGAAAGCCTGGTACAGTCAATGCCCATTATAAGAAATCAATTGAATAATCAAATCTGAACATATTATCATCATCCTCTACATAATTCTATGTTAAGAGCTCGTATACTTCCTATGCTTGCTCTCTATTAGAAATATCAATATCTGCCCAGACAAATCCAGCAGGAAGTGGGTATGGGTCTTGCCTTACTTCAGCTACTGTCTTAATCTTATCGATTGGCTTGTCTATCAATGAGTTATCGAAAACATCATAAGCCTTGGGAACTGGTTAAGAATCCCAGAAATCATGGGCATCATAAAGGGGATAGAGATTATCAATCTTCTTCAAGACTTTGTAGTTTCCAGTATGCTTCTCCCTCAAAGTTTCAAGAAGTTTCTTAACTTTTTCCTTGTATGAATTCTCATTAGCTACACTCAGTCTGAGTTCCTCTTTTGAATCAGCATCAATTTTAATCTGTAATTCTCTTTCTAAAAAGGAAACTGGATCGGTTTGCTCGAGATTATCTCCTCCTTTAGATTCCTCTTAAATTTATGTTATAAGATTTGAAGTAAATTATTGCGTGTCTTCTTGTTGTTTTTTACTGGACTCCATAATATATTTAATAATAAGATATCAATTTAAATTATAACTTAAGTAAAAATTAATGGAAAGTTTGCATAACGTTTAAGATGATACTCTTGAAATTGATGGTAGTATGCTTGAAGGCGGAGGCCAAGTAATTATAATTAGGATTAATTAAGTTTGTTAGTTGTTTAGAATGACTTTGGCTCTATCTTATCTTCTGAGAAAAAAGATTAAGATTAGTAAGATTAGGGCTAATAGAGGCAAAGGTGGAGGCTTAGGAAATCAGCATCTTACAGGGGTATAATTATAGCTATTAAAATTTTTAGCTAAATTCCTTGACTAGTTTATTGCCAGCATGTCAAGTAAAGGGGAATGTAATAAAGAGCTAAGAGGTATACTTCGATCCTGGCTCAGCCCCTATCTCAACAAAAATGTTAGATATAGATTAAAAGACACCAGGCAGCACTCATCTTGTAGCATAAATGCTCTTGCCTTGTTTAATTTTTCAAAATGAGAAGGCTCTAAACTTCTATATAAAAGGTGGAACTCTTGTTGGAATGAGTCCAACCTGTCATTCATATGAAAGGGTTTTGATTCCTACATTAAAAATGTTTAACATTCAAACTACTTATGAAGTGATAAATCATGGGCTCTTCCCAGATTTAGTCGGATAAATAAAATTTCAACTGTAGTCTAGTCAAGAATAATTAACAAACATTTAGTTTATAAATAGAGGAGAACTAAAGTCAATTGACATTTTTGTATCCTCTACGGCTGGACCACTATTAAGTTATTATGAGGATGATTGCAAAAATTAAATTCTTAACGGACTTGCAGAGCTAGTTGGTAGTGTTCCGATTAATATAAATGAAATAGATTTACCTATAAACACTCCTAAATATTCCAAAGCTTAAACTTTATTGATCACAGCTGTTTTAAACTTTGAAAATCCAACCTGCTTAAGTGCAAGTATCCTTGTAGAAAAATCAAACTTAAAAAAATAAGATCATGTATAAGTTCTATTGCAAGAAATAAAAGAACTTATTCAAAACAATCTATTAACTACAGATGAATATCATACTGACTAGCTGATGATATTTATGGCTTTAGCAAAAGGAAAATCGTCAATAATTTGCAAAGAACTATCACTGCATTCTTAGACTATGATTGAGCTTTTAAAAATGTTCTTTGGTGACAGAATTCAATTAGAGGTAAATGAGATTACAAAGGATACATAAAAAGCTTTTCAATTAGACATAGATGGAGTGGGTTATTAGCATTGATTTAATTAACGATATATTAACATTTAATTGCTTAAGCTACTTTATAAATTTTAATTATTGCATTAATGTCAGAGAAAATACTAAACGAATTCGCTGTTAGACTAAACAAATCTAGAACTCAATTGCAAGAAGTTTGCAATCAGGTGGAGACATTAAAGAAAGAGTCAAATAAGCTTTAAAGGTAGCTAGATGAAGCAAACTAGGAAAAAGCCTAGGCTGAGAGATTGCAAGAAGAGTTAAAGCATAAATACATTAACACCAAAGTTTGCAATGAAGAGGAGAGTGAGAAGCATTAATAGGAGTAGAATGAGCTTAACAATTTGAGAAAGCTCAAGAGAAAATTGGTTAAGGAAAAAGAATTAGCAGAAAAGGACTGCGAGAAACTAAGCAACGAGCTTCAACAGCATATTCATGACAGAAAGGAACTTGAATCTTTAGCTAAAAGGTTATCTGAGCAACTTGAATAGGTTCAGGGAGAGAAATAAGGATTAATGGATGAGTACACTAACAATCAAGTAAGTATCTATTTAGAAATTTTAGAGATAAACTAACAATTATATAGTAAACTATCAATGATTACAATATTGAACTGAAGGAATTGAAAGATGAGCTTGAAAGTATGAAGAATGTGATTGCACATACTTTCGAAGATGAACTGAAAACTGCTAATTCCATGAATGTTGCAAGTGTAATGGGTTCTAAAATGAGCAGAAGATAATGAAAAGCTTAACAGCCATAGTTAATTTTAGATTGACTATTGATATGAAGTTACTTGTTTGTGCTATAGAAGTTATGAGATGAAATGAAGTTATAATATATTAAATTAACAGTTAACTTTATAATTTAGATAATAATTTATCATCAAGATGAATAGAAGTTACTACAATCATCTTTTGCTTAAGGATGATGTCGGTAGATCTAAACCCACCACAAGAGCATTACCTTAAGAATATTTCGTATATGGTAGACCAGAATATAGAGATCCAGAAGATGCTGGCAAAGGTATCATAAAGAACTATTTAAATTATTTAGTTTCAACAAGTTGGAAATTTCATAATCAAAGTCGAATAGCAGGAACTGATAAAGATTTTAAAAACTTAAATCGAGAGGCAATTAGACAGAGAGCTACAACCGCTCATGTATGTCTTTCAATTGCAAAATGATCTTAAATTATAGAAACAATATTCCTTTAGATAAGCTCAGAATATCAGATTGAGAGAGCCATCAGGAGCTGTTCTTAAGTCAATCAATAGATCAATCAAACTTCCAGATGAAAGCTTCACTTACGGTAAATCATTGAGACCCTCTACTCCAATAAAGGATGTAGTCTGTAATTTTTATGCTGATGTTGCAGAGCAGTAGATGCTCAGCAGATATCAATACTTGAGATAGTAATCAAGAAGCGGCACCAGACTTAGTTGCTTTGAGAGACACACTAAGGCATCCGCACTAGCTAAGGATCATATTGAGAATTAAGGGAAAAATGAAAGTATAATCACAAGAGATACAAGAACTCTATTTAAAATGAAGAAATTCCAAAATGTGGCCCCCAGGACTAATACCAATATGGGAAAACGAGCTAATCTTAATAGATCTGCACTTGAATGATTTGAGGCGATATCTGCTAATAACTAAAAGAAAAATGAGATCACTATTATGAATTTCAATCTCAATTTTTACAGTATTTTTCCTATTAATTTTACAATGATTATTAAATTGTCAATCTTTTGATGGACGGGGTTTTGGGGTTTTGGGGTTTTGGGG